TTTCCCTATTTACTACCACATCGGGGGGTCACTTCCTTTGACTGTTCATAGCTGGGTTTTGCTGTTCTTTGTTCTTTTCTTTGCATTTTCTATTTTTCCTCTCCTCTCTTCTTATGGCCCCCCCTGTCAGGGTGGGGGGTTTTGAGGGACGAAAACAGGGTTTATTGGAACAAAAATACTCAAAAGGGTGGAAGTCCAGACAAGGTTAAAAAACAAGGCTGTGGCAAAACTGTGTAAAAACATGGCTGTGGAACAACGTAAATAAGACTATGGCAAGAAGCAAAACCTGACGTGACATGAGGAGACGAAAGACGAGAGACGAGAGACGTAAAAAGACAAAAACGCACAGGACATGGGAAACGAGGACTATTTAAACACATTTCCCTTTATTTTAGACCCCATTTTCCTATTTTACTCCTAAATTGTAAATCTAAATCCTCCAAAAACTGGAATGGAAGCTTTGAGGGCTCTTTTGGTATTTTCTGGCCACGTTCTGTTTCTGTTTGTCTCCTTTCTCCGTTAAAAAGTCCCTCACTAAAGCGTTTGGCTGTTTGGATAAATGTGCTGAATGTCTGCTCGGCTGTTAGCTGTGAGGGGGATTTCCTTCAGGTGCGTCAGTGTGAGAACAGTACCCCCCCCCCTTTATCTAGCATGTATGGAGATGTTGTTGTGACCCATGACAATTCAAAATAGAAATGCATCAAACAGAAAACCTGAAAACTAAAAACCAGTACAGAAATTACGTTATTCTTAGAGGGTGTGATAGTGACTGTTCTATAAGTTGTGGATGGTGATGGTTTGGATATTTGCACAGTCAAACATTGTTTGATTATCTTTAAAATGCATTATTTTCCTCTAGTTGAAGATTAGAAAAAAAGGAATATTTCTTGATGCGTATTACTTGTGGTCAGCTGTTCTTGAGTGTTTCCTTTTTGAATCCTTTTCATTTTGTAAACATTGTTTTTGACTTTTGCCGCCAGAAGGTGGGGGCCTCCCCCCTCTGCCCCCCCCCCCCCCCCCCCCCACCCCCCCACCCCGCCCCCCCCATCCCCAGCCCCTGGGTGCCAGTATGTCCTGAATTCAATTTTCCTCTTCATTAATTCCCCCTTCATAAGCCAGAAGCGCTGAAAGCTCAGCGGGTTTGATTTCGTGGTTCCATATGGACTCAGCAGGTCATCCCACAGCCCCCCCGGCAGAACCCACGTTACCGTTATCACCCTCCATCTCCGGGTTACACACCTACAGTACCAGTGTGACAGGAGTTGGATAGGCTTCACCTGGACATGGACAGGAAGCTTTGGGCTGAGGGACATGTCTTTTTCGCTGAGTCGGTAAAGAAGGACGTAGGGGATGTCTTTGCCATTAGCGTCCTCGCTTTATTTTAAGATCCCTGGTCTTAATCGTATTGGTCTTATTGAGCAATATAACTCAGACTACATTTTTATATTTATATATATATGCTTTTATTCTTATAAAAACTTCCTGGTAGCACAGATTCAGGAGTGGATGAGATTTCTCTTGAGAAGCTAAAAACTCGGACTATGGTGGGACTGTGTTGGATGATGCTCCTCTTCAATATCACCAGGACAGATACCCCCCCCCAGGTGGTTTGGTGAGGGATCTTTGGGAGTGTGGGATATTGGAAATGATTTCTTGAGCGGTCTGGTCCCAGTCTGAGTCCCTGTCCCAGATGCAGGAGTGTAGGTTCATATGGATTACAGTCCACGGGTTAGGGTCACCCTAACCCACAGGTGGGGGCTGTGGGACAGCAGGAGCTAGGCCAGAAGGCATTTAATTGTATCAGATTATTCCCTAAAATCTGATTAGTAACCAAACGAATGAGATCCCATAGCTGATTCCTTACTGCTCAGCTTAGAGACCCCCCCCCCCCCATCGAGATAGAACAGGCATCTGGTTGGAAGGCCCACTGTGTGAAAGTGACTGTGTGAGTGTGAGGGTCTGGGGACCGGTCCAGGGTCTGGGGAATAGTGGTTAGGGGATAGTGGTTAGGGGATAGTGGTTAGGCGATAGTGGTTAGGGGATAGTGGTTAGGGGATAGTGGTTAGGGAATAGTGGTTAGGGAATAGTGGTTAGGGGATAGAGGTTAGGGGATATTGGTTAGGGAATAGTGGTTAGGGGATAGTGGTTAGGGGATAGTGGTTAGGGTATAGTGGTTAGGGGATAGTGGTTAGGGGATAGTGGTTAGGGGATAGTGGTTAGGGGATAGTGGTTAGGGGATAGTGGTTAGGGGATAGTGGTTAGGGGATAGTGGTTAGGGGATAGTGGTTACGGGATAGGCTCCAGCCCCCAGGGCTGATGCTGTAAAGCCGGCTTGGACTGAGCACGGGTTGAAACACTCTGCTTCCACCTAGTGTCCATCACAAGCTGTTGTGTCCAACTCTGTCCAGTCAGGGACAGCAGATGACACGTTTCCTGTTCAGCTCAGGGTTAGGGTTAGGGTCAGGGTTAGGGTTAGAGTTAGGGTTAGGGTTTGAGTACTCTGTGTGTGACCCCGGGTTAATCTAATGGCGTGTGTCCCCTCCCAGACGTGCCCCCCTGAGTGTGAGGCGGGACTGGACAGCCAGAAGCGGCGCCTGTGTCGGGACTTCCTGTTTGAGGAGGAGAAGCTTTTCTCCCTCTCTGACCCCCAGCAGGAGGAGAAGGCGGTGCCCCCCCCGGTGTCTGAACACTCCCCCGATCAGGAGCTGGCCGTGAATTACGACGGGTTTTCAAAACGCTACGGGGGCTTCATGTCCCGGCGCGCCCCCCCCCCCAGAGCCCCAGGCCCCGGGGGACCAGGACGAGGACGGAGACGTCCGCATGGAAATCCTGAAGATAATAACGGCGGAGAGGGAGCGGGGGGGGGAGGGGTTCACCCATGGGGAGGAGCCAGTGAAGAGGTATGGCGGATTTATGCGGCGTGCGGAGGGGGGCGGGGCCCCGGACCACCTGCTGCAGGTGGTGCTAGGCCGGGGCCTGAAGAAGCGCTACGGGGGCTTCATGAGGCGGGTGGGCAGGCCCGAGTGGCTGGTGGAGAACAGCAAGAGCGGGGGGGTGATGAAGAGGGCCTGGGAGAACGGGAGTGGGCAGCAGAAGAGGTACGGGGGCTTCATGGACTAGGACGTCTAGGCCCAAAGGTCCGGGTCCCCAGACCTGCTCCGGTCCTCTGGAGTCTAAGTCCGGGTCCCCAGACCTGCTCCGGTCCTCTGGAGTCTGGACTTGTTCAGTCAGACCCCGTCCCTCCGTACGCGGCGCCACCGGCTTTGTAAAATGTGCTTGTGCTTCCTTGATTGGTTCAACGTGTCCTGAATAATAAAATATATACATCCATGGAAACATGAGTTATTTATCGTATTTTTTTCATATTCAGTGTGTCATTTATCAAAGAGTCTGTGTTGATTAGAGCAATTTAGCTGAGTTTTTTGGAATTGGAAGCAGCAACGTAACGAGGCCAAACATGATCAAATATCCAAACTGTGTCAAAACAGTGGATGTTTAAGGAAAAGAGAGTCTGACATGGAGTCTGGTGGAATGCTGGTAAACAGTTTATGAGCATCCTGGTACCTAAACCCTTTATGGATTCTTCTTTAAGTCTAACTAATCCACAGACCTGCTGGGTTGGATGGGGATTCAAACGGCTGAGGGTCGGCTCTCAGGAAGCTGTTCAATGATGCTTAAAAGATTTAAAGAAACACAGTCGCTTACAAAGATGAAAAGAAAAAAGAAAAACTTTATTCAAATGTATTCTAATCCTCCTCTGAGATCTCATCCCTACACCTTTCAGGCTCCGCCTCCTGTTTGGCTCGGCCGTCTAAAGCCGACATTTGCATGTTTTCTGCTGCTGAGTGCTCAGAGTCCCACAGAAACAGAGCAGAGGACCGGACAGGAAGCAGCTCTCCACACCCTTCCCTCCTCTACCGTTCAGGGAATTCACAATCTGATCTCAGTCTGTGGTCTGACTGAAGATCTGCAGAGATCATTCAGACGCATCAGAGCAAACATGAATAAATGAAAGGTTAGGGTTGCAATGTCATCGTCTGAACGTGTGTTTGGACTGATTTTGTATTGTGTGATTTTGTGTTGTTTGGTCTTCCTGCCTCAGGACCACAGATGTAAACTAGCAACTATGCTATAATCTGGCTCATTTACAATCTGGATGAGATTGTTCATTAATGTGCACTGTCCTGATTAAATGAATAAATACATAAATAAATAGACTATAAACAGCTCTAATATCTAATGAACAGACCCCAGTCCTGCTTTTCCTCTGGAGATGTGACCTCTGGACCTGCTGACAGGTCCCCAGCCCAGCCCCGGGGTCAAAGGTCAGTGTGGCTTTCTAACAGATCTGGGAGCAGATCAGCTGGACTGTGAGCAAAAAGGATTTCACACAAGAACAACACGATCTGAGAAAAGAGAAAGCAGTCAAAGAACAACTGATATGTTTTTGGATTTATGAAGACAAAAGGATTTCTTCTCAGTTTGGTT